CCTCTGACCCCACAGACACCCCACTATTCCTCTGCCACTGTCCCCCGTCCCTCTGACCTCTGACCTCTGTCCTGTGCCGCAGGGGAAGTCGGGGTGCGCCTGCCCGGACTGCGGGAAGCAGTTCAGCACCCCGGGGAACCTGCGGGTGCACCGGCGCATCCACGCGGGCGTGAAGCCCTTCGGCTGCGAGCAGTGCGGCAAGCGCTTCACCGAGCTGGGCGGCCTGCGCAAGCACCAGCGCATCCACGCGGGCGTGCGGCCCTACCGCTGCGCCGACTGCGGCAAGGAGTTCGGCCGCGTGCACCACCTCAAGTCGCACCAGCGCACGCACTCGGGCGAGAAGCCCTACGCCTGCGCCGACTGCGGCCGGCGCTTCGGCCACTCGGGCGAGCTGAAGATCCACCGGCGCACGCACTCGGGCGAGAAGCCCTACCACTGCCCCGACTGCGGCAAGAACTTCGCCGTGATCAGCAACCTGCGCTCGCACCAGCGCGTGCACTCGGGCGAGCGCGCGCACACCTGCGCCGACTGCGGCCGCAGCTTCGGGGAGCTGGGCGTGCTGCGCAAGCACCGGCGCGTGCACACGGGCGAGCGGCCCTACCACTGCACGGCCTGCGGCAAGCGCTTCAGCCGCATCCACCACCTGAAGACGCACCAGCGCACGCACACCGGCGAGCGGCCCTACGCCTGCCCCGACTGCGGCAAGACCTTCAGCCAGTCGGGCGACCTGACCAAGCACCGGCGCACGCACTCGGGCGAGAAGCCCTACCCCTGCCCCGACTGCCCGCGCAGCTACAACAACTCGGGCGACCTGCGCAAGCACAGCCGCACCCACTCCGGCCTCAAGCCCTACGCCTGCCCCGACTGCGGCAAGGGCTTCCGCATGATCCACCACCTGAAGACGCACCGGCGCGTGCACACGGGCGAGCGGCCCTACCTCTGCCCCCACTGCCCCAAGACCTTCAGCCGCCAGCACCACCTGGACTCGCACCGGCGCCGCCACTGGGCCAGCGGCACCGCCAGCGCCGGGGACGCCGCCAGCACCAGCGCCAGCGCCAGCGCCGCCGCCACAGAGACGTCCTCCACACAGGCCGGGCCAGGGGACGGGCGAGGGGTGAAGGGCGAGGAGAAGGAGGAGGGTGAGGAAGAAGAGGGAGGAGGGGGGTGAGGAAGAAGAGGGAGGAGGAGGGTGAGGAGGGAGGAGG